GGTAACCCAAAAGCTCTTATTTCAACTATCAGGTTGAATAACACAATGCATCTGGGCTTGCGAGGAAGAAGGAACATGTTACGATATTATGGGGTGACCATGAGTTGCGAAAGACGAATGGCACAGATGGGCGGCAATATCTTGAATTTACAGAGAGGGCAACCAAGACCAGGAAAGGTCTAAATGATGAGCCAAGAATGTTTAAACCTAAACTATGGGAAGAAAAAGGTAAGCCATATGTAGTAATTAAATTTTCTATAAAGGCAAACTTATTATAGATATATTTTCAAAAAAGTTTTAATTTTAGAAAAGAGTAAGTTTTCTTATTCCAATTATTACAAACGTGACATATATTTGATAATATTAATTTAGAAACTAATTGTGTTGAAAAATGTTAATAAATGAAATTAAACTGAAATAATATTGTTGTTTTTTTACAGATGATCCTCATTGTCCCTTGAAAATGTACCTGCTTTATAAGGAAAACAGACCAACAGTTGACCCAGAGAGTAAGTTCTACCTGCAAGTTAATGGATACTGGCAAGCAATGGGCAATTGGTTTAACACTTGTCCTATGGGAAAAGACTCCCTCTGTACAATTGCCAAGGCTCTAAGTGAAAGTGCCGATTTCAGTGGAAAACACACAAACCATTCTGGAAGTAAGACATTCATTTCCAATCTTTTAGATAAAGGTGTCTCTCCAACAGAGGTTGCTCAAATTACTGGTCATAAAATTTGAAGTCACTGAATCATTACCATTCCCCAAGCATTGAACGCCAACAGGGACTGTCAGAGATAATACATGCACCTAGGACAAGTGAGACAAACTTCAAAACTGATGAAATATCAGACAGTGAACTAGTTAACTGCTCCCAGGAAGTTGAAAAAACACTTCAAAGTATTGAAATATATGAAGAAAATCAAGCAACACCAAGGTTGAATGTAGGCGTTTCTCAGAGTCCAGGCAGCACTTTACCATGTCTCACTTCAGGAATCAACCACAGTCCATGTTCAGTGGTTGTACTTTCAATCAGCCTGTCAATATCATTTTAAAGAACTAATCTTTCAAATGAACAATTTACTGATATGAGATCAGTTTTTTTTGTATCCACTGATATAGTGTCTAAGGTTGAGTAATTTGTCGGCGCATCCATTGACAAAAAAAGACACATTCATTACATTTGCAATATTTCTTTTATATACAATTAAATGCGTAAATGAAATAAAAGGTTTAAATGAAATGAAATTCAAATTTTAAATGCAGTTCGTTCAATTATTTACTATTTAATGAACTATATTTATCATATTTTACAAGAATTCAAATGCTAGACAAGTATTATATCATGTCACCTGTTTTTGCCTTCATGGGCAAGTTATTTGCTTACAAGAAAGATATGACGGCATATATAAAAGTTTCTAGCCTGGTAAAATACAGCGGACAAAACATATATATTAAGTGAACGATTTTAAGTATAATAAAGAAAATATATATAAAATAACATGGGTCATTATGGACATCTTCGGGCAATTATTGCATAATGGCGAGCAGCAACCAAGTATTAACCTCTAAAGAAGAAACCCCCAAGAGTACCCCTGCGAAATGGGTTCATGGATTTCATGAACTTATTCAATGACATGAACTTCATGAACCGTATCATGAATACCAATAAAAGTTCATCAATTTTAGATTCATGAACAAGCGTTTATTCATAAATATGTTGAACTTCAAGATATATGTTTAAGAGTTGTTGAAAGGGTTCATGAATGTCAGGGAATGGTTCATAAATGTCAGGAAGGGTTCATGAATGTCAGGGAATGGTTCATGAAAAATGTGGTGATGAAACTAATTAACTTGATATTAGACAATTGAGGAATTTTCAATGTTAGTGACTTCATGAACTGAATATTCATGAACCAGAACTTACAAACTGAACTCGGTTTAATAAAATAAACAGAAATACTTTCACTGTGATTTGTCTGGTTTTAATTGCACACTGTTTTAACTAATTAGATTTTGCTTGACAATGCTGAAAGTCAATATCTTTCTTTTTGGCATATAGATGTGTAAGATAACATTTGAAAAAAAATTATGATTGCAATAACAAATCCAGTTCTGCATAGGATAAATTCAATTAGTACCATGTGTTTAGAGCTAACTGATACAAACAACATCATGTTAAATTGCTTTAACACAATCCCTAGGAGTGAAAAAATTTGAATTATATAAACTACTGACTTTAAAAATGCGAACCTAGCGATCATCAAGAAACAGCATTATGATCTAGATTTTTGGCCGGGTTGCACAGGTGCAAACCCGGGTTATAGTATGGTGAATGTCGGGCTGGCAGATGGATGGCTGGCGGGTAAAAACATTCTCAGCAACTACTTACCACAGCCGCCTGATATTTGGCATACAGCATTGACATGTTGTCTCATACTGTGGGATTCGATTTCAAGTCTGTCGCCCATCCCTTTCCTGGTAGTCTACTTTAAAAAGTTAAATTTTCAACATTAATTTTTAGTGGTTGGAAATTTTCGTAACAGTTTTCTCAGCATCTATTTATCATAGTCCCTTAATATTTGGCATATAGCATTGACATGTGGTCCCATACTGTGGGATTCAATTTCAGGTCTGTCCCTCATCCACTTTCTGTTCATCGACTAAATTTTCGACATAAATGGTCAATGGTAGGAAATTTTCGTAACAGTTTTCTCAGCAACTACTTATCACAGCCTCTTGATATTGACATACAGCATTGACACATAGTCCGATACTGTGGGATTCGATTTCAGGTCTGTTGCTCATCCACTTTTTGTTTAATGACTTAATTAAGTTTTCGACATTGATGTTCAGTGGTAATTTTTTTCTTAACATCACAGCATCAAGATATTTGGTATACAAATGCAACCCGGCCTTTTCTTGCATTAATATATACCACAGTGTCTATCAATTTATTAACTGGTACAATTTGTATCAAGTTTGTTGCTTTCAATTGAAATAAATGCTTACCAAAGTTACCAATACCAGATTGATTTGGATTTGAAACAGCATAAACTAAATTTCTTGCTGTACTGTAAATAAAGTACTGAAGACTACCGACAACATGCTGACCATTGGCTTGATAACAAATAATATAGCAGATTCTCCTCAGTAATCTTCTATACTTTTTAGAACAAAACTGTTTTCGATGTATACGAACACGGTCTACAATTTTTAGATTATCTGTATCCTCAATTACAAATTCAGATAAAGCACTTAATACTTGTTCGCTAACTTTATCTTTCAAAAAAGGTTTTAATTGTCCACATATATCACAATTATCTGACTTTTTCTTTGTTTTCCACAGTGTTCCACCAGAAGGTGTTATAATATCACTAGCCCTTATTATGGATTCTGTATGTTTGTACCTAAGGATCTGTCTTGTGGCATTGCCTGTTCCATGAACTGACTGCAGGAGAGCAGCATTTGCATCTTCAAATGGGAAGCAACTCCATGCCCACAGGGAGCCCCATTTTTCAACATACCGAATCAAGTGCACGCATTGTGCACATTTAATCCACAAGAGCCCTGACCATACAATCTCTTAAAACTAGAATAAAATTCTCGTAGTAATGAACCTGCTCTCTGAATCTGATCAACAGATATACTGTCGCCCAGAAGTATATACATGTATATTGCCTCTAAGAAATGTGCAAAATGTGTTAAATATTCTTCTGGCAAAATCCCAGTTAAGCATGGGCCTCCATAGAACAATAACCACATCTGTAGTTCAGTAGCCTTCAAGCTAGCAAAATGCTTTTCAATATTGTGTGGTAATCGTTCATTATGAAGAGGCGGTTATATGTTTAGAAGGCATTTAGAAACTGCTTGAATCTGTTTTCCAATAAAGTATGGCTGACCACTCTGACTTGGAGAAAACCATTTCATAAGCAATGTTTGTGTAACACCTAAGAGAACACCATGCATATAGTCTGGAACTGTACTTAGTCATAAGACTGAATTTGCAAGCAATCCTGATGTGCCTTTGAACCCTTTGATCCTCTTCCTGTCCGTACCATTTCTCATGTGTTCAACCACTTCACCATGAACTCTTTCTTTAAATTCCTGACCAAAATCTCTGTAAGGGTAACCTCTTGAGTGTCCTTTACCTTGCTTTACCACAATTCCAGGATCTTCACAAGATATACAACTCTCTGCACCATTGAACTATGTCGTATTTAATATTGATGCTTTTGCTGGAATGTCAAACATCCCACATACAACGGCCAATTTTGCAATAATAGTGTCACTGTGTATTTTTATTTTTATACCTTCATTATACAAGAGGTCTAGTTCTCTTCCCAAATGTTGTAATATTATTTCAAATGATGGTTTTCCTTTCTCCTGCCAAATAGCTGCTAGTAACAAATTGTCTCGAGAAAATCTGATTGAAGGACTCAGTTCATTAATGGCAATGAAAAAAGGTCATAACTCAACCTTAGAGGACTTAGGGGAGGAATACAAGTTAATTCCATCAGTATTTAAAATAGCTGTTAAGTTATAAGCATGGTCTGAAAGAATCCATCTAATAATCTCCTGTATTCTGAACAATCTGTAATGTCAGATATTACTGTTTCTTGTTCTGTTATCCTGCTTGGCTGCTTCAACACTGAAAGGAAACATCAAAAAATCAAATATGATCAAATTATTTAAACACTTTCAGTAATTCAATAAATGAAATGGTTTTATTTATTAAATTGTGTCCTTATAGAATGATGTAATTTGTCGTGCTCAATAAGAGAGTACTGTGATGTTCCAAACAATATTGAAAAGTAAAACTTGAATAATCGGACACTGGTGTGCTTATACAGCATTTAAAGGCTTTGGTATATTCAAAGTTAATAGACCATATGCATATCAATATTTTAAACCACTGTTTATCTCAGACATCTAGTGGTCTTTATCTCAGACATCTGATGGATATGCTAAGGTGTAGTTAACTAGAAACAATACCTCATATCTAGACCATAAGAGTATGCTGTTTTGTCTTGATAACTGAAGTTTCATTATCTGTTACTCCTGTTCCATGCACATTGTTAATGTGGCGTGCAATGGTCTGTTTTGCAGCAAAGTGGCGACAGCAAACTTTACATTCATATTTCTTCTTTCCAGCAATTATCACTTCCTTGTAATTTTGGGTTCTGTCTTCATTTGCTGAAAATTATAAGTAGAGAGAAAAAACTCACAATTAATATAGAAGTAAGCATGCTTCCATTGGATAACAGATTGTACCTTCTCAAATAATTTTAAGAACTGCCCTGGATGATGCTGGTTAGAAATTTTAAGATTTAGAAGGAGTACTATTCACCCAATACTCTAAATGTCACTAAAGTTTTAAAGTTTAACCTATTATCAACCATAATTATCTTCGATCAAACAGTGAAAATGGTGTGATTCATAGGCGTCAACTAAATTCCATACTGCATAGTACCAGTTTTGGAATGTTACTTCTTGAAATTCAATAATTTCCCGAGGTGACTATATTTAAATTGGTTAAGGGTCTACTCGGCTCTATACCAACTTGGCACGGGTCAACTTGGCCCATTTTTAACAAGAGATGTCACAGGAGACATCGAAGCTCGACTAATAAAATACTGGACGCAGTAAGGAAGACAAAACTATGAAAGAAAAATCAATTATGTATAATTATATTTTAAGTTATAGTAAAAAGATAACATTGTTAACATAAATTTCAAGATCAAGGGGAATAATTCTAGCAAAAGTCTCGCTAGAGTTATGAACCTTGTCACACAACATGTGTGTATGATAAGAAATATATATTTGAAGTTTGAAGTAGATACCTTAAAAAGTAAATAAGTTATAATATTTCGTAAGAAAATACTAAGTTCAAAGAGAGATAATTCTGTAAATATTGCTTCAAGAGTTATGAACATTGTCACATAAAAAGTAATTGATGATAAGGAATAAGTATTTGAAGTTTGAGGTAGATGCCTTTAAAACTAAAACAGTTTAATAACATTTTACTTGTAAAAAAATCTTAAACAATCTAAGTTTATGGGGAGATAATTCTTTCAATATTGGTGCTAGAGTTATGAACCTTGTCACATAAGATGTGGAGGATGATAAGGTACATACATTTGAAGTATGAAATTGTTCCCTTAAGAAATAAAGAAGTAACAGTAAAAAAATGGTATTTTTAAGGAAACTTCTAAGTTCAAGGGGAGATTAATCTGAAAATATAAAAATATTGGTGCTAGAGTTATGAACCTTGTCACATAAGATTGGGTTGATGATAAGAAATATATATTTGAAGGTGATACTTTGAGAAATGACAAAGTTATAGTGAAAAATATTTTACTGCACCAAAACTTTGATCTGAAATCTTCTGGACGCCACCGCCGATGCCGGGGCGAGTAGGACAGCTCTCCATATACTTTGTATAGTCGAGCTAAAAAACTTAATAAACATATTAACTTTTCCTGATTACTTGCATGTTATCAAGGTAAGCTGTTTGAAATGAAAAATAAGAGGTATCTGGTATATTATAATATAATTGTACATTGTACTTCTGCAGAATTAAAGTATATTTAGAAGAAATTTGTTATGTTTATGCTTGCAGATTCGTTAAAAATCAATATAATACAAATGTGTACTTAATATCATAAGCTTCTAATTAGTTGCAGGTGGTCATTATTCAAATTTGAATGAATCTTTTTTTATGCCCCGGTCATTTTTTATGCCTCTGGGCATATAGTAATTACACCGTCTGTACGTACGAGGTTAACCTAAAAAGCAAGTTGGAGTTTTCTTAAGTACTACCTATACAAATGGCTTCATACTTCAAACACATGCTTATTAACACAATGAACATGACCTGGGCAAGTTACATAACTATGCCATTTTTACCAAGTTATTGCCCTTTTCAGCACTTAGAAAATGAATAATTGGTTAACCATAAACGGCAAGTTAGGTATATCTTAAGTTCTATCTATACTTATAGCTTCATAATTACCACACTTACTTATCATTACCAATTACATGATATTCATGTCACTGTTGTGTTTGTTTATCAGTACTGTAAATGTATATATTTAGATTTTTAAAATTTCTAAATGTAAATAGTTATTTTTGATGGTACATGTTTTATTAAAGTATAAAATATTTTTAAATGTTTGTTCTTTATTTCATTTACGCGGTTTCAACAACGGTTTGTCTTAACACCGAATATGAAATCATATTCAGGAATATGAACAGGAGTACCGAACATGAATATCTTTTTTTTTTAAAAATCAGCTCTTTTTTGGATTTTTTTTCGTCAACAGAGCTAGACCAAATTATGTATCATTTACTTGTTTCATATGTCTTTGAATAAAAAAAACGAATTTCTGAATTTATTCGGTTATAGATTATTGTGAACAGCAGTGATTTTTTCCACTGTATTTTACGGCCGAATAAAGGCTGTTTCCCCTAGCCCATAATAGGTATAATACCTCTAAAAATGCTAATATTTTCCCCTAAAATGCCTCATGCTCTTCCTTAACAGAACCATGACAAAACAGCCTCTGACCTAAAATATCAGCTAGAAGACAGAAAGCTGTCCCTAAAAACAGCCTCTGCTATGTTCCATGCATGATAAATTTAATTGAAAATGAAAATTTTATAAAATGTGTGGGTAAATTCCATTTCAGTCTAATTTATCGCGCTATATTTTTCCCTTCAGAAATGAAAATTGGAGAAAAAAATCACTGAATAGAAAGAGAAGAATAACAATATGAACACTATTATTCATAAACGAAATATCTCATACACATAAAAAATAGACACTATTACATAAATGTATATATGTTATGGTTTATATTTATTTAAACTTTAAAGAAAATTAATTAAACTAATATAAATCATGCTTTATGAAAAGTGAGTGTTAGTAAGTGTTTTAGAATTTATAGGCCGAACATTTTTTATAATATACATATCATTTGGCATCCTCTTTCATATTCAGGGCCTGCATATATATTTATATTTGCGTAAATATTTTATTACATTTTATGAAAATACTATTCATATTCGGTATTCTCTTTATGTTTGCGAATATGAATTCACATTCGGTACTTAGTCATACCCTTCCAACAATAAAGAGTAACAAACAAACCAATATATAAATAAATTGAAAGTTGGTCCGAGTTGACTTGTGATGACGTTTTATCGGTTTATGGCTTTCATTAAAATTTCCCCAACGCCTTTGCATGCAAAACAAGCCTGTTAACAGTGAAACGTGTAATTATATTCACATAACATATAAAATAAAATTCAATATTTTCTGACTAAGTCTGTTAAATAGGCATTGCCGCAAGATTTGTGGCGATACATACCGAGTACGTGATTGTGAACATTTGCAGCATGTTTCACGAGGTCTTGTTTGTAGTTAAACAGCCTTTCACAAGACATACATTGACGCTTGTTAGTGCCATTGACAGAGATAATCCTGTACAGCCGCTCTGATTCCATGATAATATGATAAACTTTACAAAATATCACATGTGAATGTTATTTCAGAAGTTGTGATTCTCGCTGTTACACCGCCATAAGAAAATTATCAATAACATCCGGTTGTGGTCCAACACCACCAAATGCATACGCGAGGCCGGTGGACACTAGTCAAAATATTTTGACTAACAAAGTTTGCACATAAACAAACATTTCAATATTTTTTCAAAACATTAAGCATGAAACATGTTAAATTTCAGTTTAACACCAATAATAGTCCACCTGTGTAGGGAAGAGGTTATTTTTTCTGTTGTGAGTGAAACAGCGGTGAAAGGAGAAATCCTGCCAGGAAAGAAAACCCGTGACAAAATTTCAGGGCAAATTGTATCAAGTAAGTCAACATTTGGTCTTGAGACATAAGTATTTAGTATTTCTTTAAAGTAAAAAGACTTATTATTAATTTTTTTTAAGGTTTGATAACTTTTTTGAATCGGATAATAATTCAATAATGTTACCATATGGGGCTGTGTTCGATCGAATATCGAGTTGAAGCCGAATTAAGGCTGAAGTGAAGAACGTTCGCGAAAGCGGACTGAACACATTTTACCAACAACAAAGTTTATTTGGATGAATCAAAATTTCGTAATAGATCTAGATCTAATTATGAAAAAGCTAAAATTTTATCTTGCCGTTGTTAGATCACAAATGTTCACCTTGTGAGTCCAGAAAAGTTAATCACTCGTGAAAGTATAATTTCTGGGCTCACTTCAAAGCCTGGTGAAAGATAATATGATCTTGCACCAAAACAATTGATTATCCTCTACATATTTGCCCTGAAAATATTACAATAAAAGATACAAGTGGTCATAGATTCGAATCCTTCTAGATCTATTGAAGACTTTTATTTATTTTTATATTTTCTTCAAAGCGCATTTATACTCTTTTTTTAGCATGCCCATTCATGCACTACAGTGCTTAATTCACAAACAAAATTCTACATGCATGCATAAGAATATATAGTAGGGGGTACATGCACACAAAGTAAATCATCAAAATATTTTGGATAGTCTAAACTGTATATCTGCTAAATGTTGTTGCCATCTACCAATTGTTAGGAAGTCTAACCCAGTCTCAATGGCATGACGTCTGCATTCTTAAAATCGCCTCAGTCTGATTTGTAGATATTACAGCCGCAACTTGACGTCATATGTACTGTCTTAATAAGTTAAGAAAATTTTGGATATTTACAACTGGCAAAAATATGTTGAGGTCTTAAAGGATCAACAAAAAGTTAGTCACTTAATTTTTTAATAATTTAATTGTGAGCTTTACAAATGTCATATGAAACTAGAAATGTGTCATCATGCCACGGATGCCCCCGCATGCAGCCAAAATTTCAGATGGTGCATTAATTTTTTTTTTTTCATTTTAAGTTCAAAGCCCTTAAAACTTTTCAATGTTAACACAAACCATTTCCATACAACGTTCAAGGCACTGAAATTATTCAGTCTTAACCTTTAGAAAAAGCATATTGCATATTTGTAGCCAAAATAATGGCTAAAAGAATGAGTGCTGAAACTGAAAGTTCAAAATTTTTCCAACATTCAGGAAAGATAAGTTTGTCTAAAATCATTGAACCATGACCAAATTCAAACTTAAACTGCTTATTCCTAAGATGTATCTATATTATTTTCAAAGTGAAAGGGACATAACTCTGCCAAAAATCCATCAAACCATGACCAAATTCCAACTTGACCTGCCCATTCCTTTGACATATCCATATGTCAAATTAAAATTGAATATGTAACACTGTTAGGTAGATAATGAACAGAAACTGTAAATTTCATATTATTTTCAAAGTGAAAGGGGCATAACTCTGCCAAAAATCATTGAACCATGACCAAATTTGAACTTGACCTGTGCATTCCATTGACGCATCCATATGTCACGTTTGAGTTGAATGTGTTGTACCTTGAGGGAGATAATGAACGGAAACTGAAAATTTCATATTATTTTCAAAGTAAAAGGGGCATAACTCTGCCAAAAATCATCGAACCACAACCAAATTTGAACTTGACCTGCGCATTCCTTTGACGCATCAATATGTCACGTTTGAGTTGAATGTGTTGTACCTTGAGGGAGATAATGAACGGAAACTGAAAATTTATTATTATTTTCAAAGTAAAAGGGGCATAACTCTGCCAAAAATCATCGAACCATGACCAAATTCGAACTTGACCTGTATTTTCTCATGACATATCCATATGTCAAGTTTGAGTTGATTGTGTTGTACCGTTGGGGAGATAATGAACGGAAACTGAAAATTTCATATTATTTTCAAAGTAAAAGGGGCATAACTCTGCCAAAAATCATCGAACCATAACCAAATTCGAACTTGACCTGTATTTTCTCATAACATATCCATATGTCAAGTTTGAGTTGAATGTGTCCAACAGTTCTTGAGATAATGAACGGAAACTGAAATTTCATATTATTTTCAAAGTAAAAGGGGCATAACTCTGCCAAAAATCATCGAACCATGACCAAATTCGAACTTGACCTGTATTTTCTCATGACATATCCATATGTCAAATTTGAGTTGAATGTGCCCAACCGTTCTTAAGATAATGAACGGAAACTGATGATGACGGAATGACAGAATGACGGAAGGACGGAAGGACGGAAGGACGGAAGGATGGAAGGACGGAAGGACGGAAGGACGGAATGACGGAACAGGGTAACACTATATGCCCCGGCCATTACATGGCGGGGGCATAATAAAAATATAAATAAACCTTTTGAAATATATGTTCATAATTTTCGATGGGTAATAAGCATATTGGACTGAACAGAAGATTAGTGATTTTTATGTCTGCTATATTGCTACCATAAGTGATGAGTTAAATGAGTTCTAAATTCAAAATTTTACTATTTCATGTTTAAATGTTGAATTCTGCTTAAGCCGGTGCTAGGGGGCGTGGACGGTAACTTGCACTTTCCAGTACCGTTCATGAACAGGCTCAATCAAACCGAGCCTGTAACATTTTCAATTTTGTCGTGTTGGGCTTTCTTTAGGGATTCTGTATTTATTTATTTTGTGCCTGTGTTAGTGGGTAGTAAACCTTAGTATTTAATATAATGAGCTTTTTATTTTGACAAAAATGTTCTTAAACAATAACTGTGTACCCACTAGATTTTTAAAGGTAACCAAACTTTTCAATTTACATTTGAAAGAGTGGGCATGCTGCTGTAGGCTAGTCCCTTTAACCTATTGCATTTAAAATATGCCATTGTTGTATGTTTTGACTTTTTTCAAAAGAAGTTAAATATGCAGGTAGTGTTATGGGATACATTTATGCTTGTAAATAAATCATGAAATATCATTAAGTATATCATCATTATAGAGTGTATCATAATGTTGAGAAAATCATTTTTGAGTTTATGAACCAAAAAACGACCCAGTCACGAGAAGTTGGCATGAACAATACCTTACACATACATTTTGAGCAAAGTGACATAATCAGATAAGAATAATTTAAAATATTTGTAAACCTAAGGTGCTGGAACATCCTGGGTTAAAATTCATCAAAACATGCTGTTCATTTTAGCAATTGGGTGTAAAGTGAATCCCTACATTTGATATTCAGTTAAATGTAAGCATAATATGTCAAATTGTTAACCAAAAATGTGTTTTAATGTTTCCTTGACGGGCCCAAAGGGTTTTGTTATTTAATTTCCTTATAATGGGTATTGTATTGTATTAAATGTTTGTGGTATGCTGTCTTTAAGATTTTGTTAACTGTCCCTGATAACATTAATGACTTTCTTCTGTCTGCACATTTAGATCTGGAAAAACACTTGTCAAATGACAAACGTTATGCAAATAACTTTAATTCCTTTGAGGCTGATCCGTAGACCATAAAGGAAGCAGGAAGGAAATTTAAAGAATTCCTGGAACAGGTCCTATTTGAGGAATAACCTAAGATTTGGAATCATGCCTCATTCAGTATGCAAGAGGTAAAATTTTGAGTTACGGTAATCCATTAAGCTTACTTGTCATATGTATTCTCATGTACCCTATGATTTTAACTTAGATGTTCTGCTCTGTTTACATTTTTATTCTAATTATTGTCTAATGAGGCTACAATTTCAGATAGAACGTAATAAAATTGATCAGAATTTGAGCCTTTGTAAAATCTTGGATGAGTTTGAAATTTGGTTATAATATAGGTTAAAAAATTCTAGGTTATTTTGTGAAAATAGAAATTGGTTTCGAAGATGATGATTTGTCCAATCTGTATACTTTAGAGTCTTTGAACTTTATTTTGCAGCATCGGGGGAAGCAGTTTTAAACACAAATGACAAGGTAGTAACGGATTTCAAATATGCATCTCTTGTGTCCAATAAGGCACCGACTGAAACCCATGATGAATCAAATACTTCCAGAAGTTCCAGTAAGGCACTGATTGAAACAGAAGGTATGCTTTTAAGTTCTGCTACATTTGCATCTTACTTCAAATCACTTGAGGTCTCAATTTCAGTTAAAATATATAAAAAAAAAAACTTGATCAGAATGTTAGCCTTTGTAAAATCTCAAATGAGCCTGACCTTCAAATTGGGTTCTGTAGGGTCAACAATGTTTGCACTCACATTAGTTTTATTTCAAGTTAGTTTGTAAAATTAGAAACACAAATTGGAATAGTAAGTTCTGTCAAAAATGGCGCTTTAGGGTCTTTGAAATTTATTCTGCAGCATTGGGGAAAGCAGTTTGTAACACAAAGGATGAGCCCCAGCATTCTATACAAGTAGTTACCGATGCATCTCTTGGGTCCAGTAAGGGACAGACTGAAACAAAAGGTAGGCTTTAAGTATTCATTTATATTCTGCTCCGTTGAGTTTCATTTAGATTTAATTTGCCTGTTTCAAGGGTCTACATAGATCAAAATTGGGTTGGGTTTACTTTTATATGTTTCTACATGATCATTTTAGTGTTTTACTTATTTAACCTTTTGTAACCATGACAACTGTTAG